ATATATATATATATATATATATATATATATTATGCACCTTTCTAGTAATTAATTAAGGATTTTACCCATCGACTTGATACCTTACTGAAATTGGTTACTTTTAAAATAATATGGCTTAACCTGACTCTCATACGATATCAACTAAAAACTTATAAGAGACTCAACTTTTCACTTCAAGAGACAATAATACTCAAAAAGGACTTTTCAACAATTTGGCTCTCAGAGCACCATAACACATATACACATACTAAAATATTTCAATTTTTAAAACAACACTTTTCCTCCAGTCTTATGTTCACCACATAGTTCAATAACATGCATCATGCATATCCCCTACAACTCAACATAACAACATCCTTCTGGATATCACATACAACTCAACACAACATGTTTTCAACATTAAAGCAACTTAATTATGTTGTAATTTCCTATAAATTATTGTGAGTTACAATCAATTATGAGTTTTGTTTTGTCAAAATAGATTAATATTATGAATCATCTAATGATACCTAAGTCCACTAATAATGTGATCAAATATAACGGACTTTGAGCACCTAATTTCAATTTGTCTAGAAAATAGTGTAAGCCCAACCTCAAGACCTATAATATGGGAGGTTCTTAGGTTAATTAAATAGTGTGTCTAGATCCTTTTCGTTGTCACAATAAAAAATAATTGCTCTAGAATATTAGAGGTGCAATCAGGTAAAGGAAGACTTACCTTTTTAGTTGTAAGAAATTTAACAAGGCATAAAGAATTCTTAAAGATATACCCAATCACGTCTTCAATAGGTAAGTGTATAATTTAAAACCAGTGTTCTAAATTCATATAAAGTGTGATTGATTTGATCTTTTTTTTTTTTTATTTTTAATTTTTATAAATTATTCATATATAATAACTCATTATCATCATATACATTCAAGACACTCACATTCGACATGATTAAGAATGTGCTTGACATCAAATAAGGTGAACAATCTCTAAAACACTTACACCCATCGCCATTAATCTCGTGCTTGGAATAAATGAGGCAAAGAGCTTTTGACTCATTTATGTTCGATTTCACTTATTTCACACTCGGCAAAAATGAGATAGAGAGCCTCTGGCTCACTTACGCCCGACGCCACTTATTCCACACCTAACGAAAATAAGGCAAAAGGCCTCTAGCTTACTTACGCCTGACTCTAGTTATCTCACACCCAACGAAAATAAGGCAGACAACCTCTAACTCACTCACGCCCAATGCCACTTATCCCATGTTCAGTCAAAATGAGGCAGAAAGCCTCTAGCTCACTCACACTCAACGTCATGATGTTATGCTCAACCACGAGATCTCAACACTTTGTAGAATCACGATTTGGATTCCCCTAAACCTTCACTCACCCATTATTCACTAGAAAACCCAAATTCAACACACATACATGATAATCAACTCAGATTCATCAATTTAGACAACATGTAACCACTCAAGTAAGATCATCAATTCTACTCTTTAAGTGAGAAAAACCCCAAACAAAAATTTTCAAGATTCAAATTCTCAATTTCTAGAATCAAAGCCACCAACAGGTGAATAAATACAATAATCAACGCATGCAACATATATAGTAAAAGTTAATCTACAAATTTCCCTTACCTTTATTCTCCCATAAATGAGGAAAAAGAACGAGAATGGTGAAGAACGAGACCCCTCGAGCTCCTATCGTACGACAATCCCTATCTATGATTCTCAACACCTTAAGCTTCGAATCTCAACTCAGCAACTCAATCTAAGCTCTAGGGAAGGATTTGAGCACTCCCATGAAGTCAAAAAGAAGAAGGATCTTCTTTGGCTCTAGAGTCTATTTCTCTAAACTTCTCTTTAAAATTGTTTAAGATATGAATTTATGAAACTCAAATCTTAAGAAAATCTTATATATTTTTCCCCTAAATTTGACCATCTTTAACCTTAACTCAAAACAACCCTCTAACAACTAAATTAATAAAAATTTCTTAATCCTTAAAATTTTAAAAACATTAAAATAACAAATGAACAAATATTTATTTAATTAATAAAATTAAATAAACAATCAATCATAATACAATGTTACATTTAGTATTCTAAAATCATAAAATACTCTCTCTTTTTTTTTTGTAGAAAGTGATTTTTTTAAATAAAAATTATTTTAATAAAGACAAAAATCAAATATAAAATTATTACGCAAATCTCATATCTCAAAATCACAAATACTTTGATTTTAAACCCTAAACCAATTTGTGTTTGAAATTTAATATTAGTATTTATTAGTGTGAAAATGTCAGGCTTGAATCGATAGATCAGTGGTTGGACCATATTTTTCTATTTTGGATTCTTTTTCCGTAAAGATTCGGTCGGTGTAAAGTAGAATAAATTACACTTGCCACGTTTCAAAAAAGTGATAACTTAGCATTGATTTTTTTTCTTAATAATTATAAAATTGATATGAAATATTTATTCGTTGATAATGGTGATTATTTATTTATCTTTTTTTATCGTGAAGGTGAATATTTTCTATTCCGACACAATCTATTATATATCTAAAATTAAAATTAAAATTTTAAATATTTTGATTAAAAAATATAAATTATTATCACTCTGTCAATTAATATTAATTCTAAGCATTGATATTGCATAAAAAAAAGACACGAATAATATGTGTGAACTTTGCTTTAAAGTATAATAAAAGAAGAAAAAGTAAAAAAGGATGTGAAGGAAACTCAAGTGCAAAATAAAGCAAAAGCACCATAATACACCACTTATAATGTACGATATTTATTTAAGTTTGAGATACAATTAAAAGCACATGATTTCATGCCACAAAAATAAATTAGATAATTTTGAACCGTCAAATGTATATAACAAAAATAAATTATATAATTTTGAAGCATCAAATATATATAGTCCAAATAAATGTTTATATGACATGCATTTTGAAATTTTCGATTTACAAAAATACTAGTAACACTTTATTTGTCTATCTAATAATTTCTCTATGTGAAGTTTTTTTTTAATTTTAATATTTTTGTTTAATCTTTTTGTGAGGTTTAATTAGGAATGATATGCTCCACCACAGTCTAACAATTCCTCCTAACAACCGTGGGGACATAGCATGTCAAATATGAGCCCCTAATCATTAGTCAAGCACCAGAGTACGCATATATCACAAAGGAAAAAGATCGCAGTTTATTGAAACCTTCAAGCAATTTCTTCAAAAAAAAAAAAAAAAGTGAGAAAAGCAGATACCACAATTGCACTTGCTGGGATTGAATATGAAGAACAGAAATATCGAGTCAGCATCCATTCAAAAAAGCATACAAGTGAGTGAAAGTGAAGAGAGTAGGGTTAACTCATTTTCTCACTTTCCTAAAGTTTCAAAAGCTAACCAACCTCTTCATTTCCTTATTCTAATTTCACATCACATCAACTTGTTGTTGAGGTTAGTGGCAGGGATGATCCAGGAAGATTTTTTTACTTTCGTATTTCATAATTGCTTACTTATTTAACTTGTAACAAGATCTTTGAGACTAAAGTATAGTGTTAAGTCAAAAGACGATCTCCTAAATTCAAAGTTTTAAT